TCAATTAACGGTGAGAACTTTGTTTGCTCGTCATCGCCGTTTTCGAACTTCTTTCGATTCTTAAGCATTCTATTTGCACCATCAAATAGACTTTTGGAGGTAAACCGTGTCGGTTGACTTTCTAACAACGACGACTCCAAAAAGTCCAAGGTAATTTTACTCACACTTGAAGCGTTTTTCACCGCTATCTGGTCCAGTAACTCGCAAGCAATAATTGGATGAACAATGGCGATGGCCTTCCCTGACCCAGAATGTGTACTGCAGTCCACTTCTCGTAAGAAAATTCGAGCTGAGTGGGTAAGATCTTCCACCCAATCCCGGCAGATTCTTTTTCGAAGGCTATCCGATAACATTAAAGTATCGAAGCAAGAGGAAAACACTGGGTTTGGGTTGTAGAGGTTCAGAAGGGATAGATACTTCAGCAATGTTAGTTCATCCCCAATCACAAGATCTAAATTTCTCTGAACAACACTATAGGTGTACTTCGGATTATAATTCTCCTTCATTACCATAAAAGATATTAAATTTTCATTGGCATAATTTTCAAAATCATGCTCCGGGTCTTTGCTGCGGGATTCCCGTTTCATGTCTTTACACTTGTCTTTGAACCAATCTACTTCCTTCTGACTAAGATGCTGCTCAAGGAAAACGCTTGCTTCCGGTTCTTTCAGATGACAGTCCAATGGCTTTTGGGTGGGTTTGCAATAAAGAAACACGCACACTGGCAAATGAGTTCTGGGAAGTTTGTTGGCGTGCTCCACAACTTGTGACCTGAATTCTCGGAACAAAAAGTCATCTGTGTCCTCAACCAACGCTAACACAGGTGGAGACTGAGCTTCACTCTCTTCTCCATAACCAATTTTTCTGAGCTGCAAAAGTTCTTTCGAAGTACTACCATCGATCTTGGTAACTACAGCACAACGGTAGGGAAACTGAGGATTGCAACGAAAATCCCACAGGGCTTGTCGAGTCATAGTACTAACCCCTGCCCCTATATGGTGATAGATAGTAATTGTTTGTACCTTTCCCTCAGTCCCTCCACTATATGGTTTTTCTATTAAGTTCTTCAAGTCAGCGTAATTGTCGCGTCGAAGAACATGGTTCTTTTGGGCATCCGTGAACCAGAAATTCATCCACGTTACAGGATATCCTCTGTAGAAATCTATTTCCACCTTTGATGACAGCTCTGAGCGTTCCTCGGAGCTTA